TCAGAATAGGCTTACACAGGGCAAAGCTTGGAGTAATTTGAGCAATGATAATGGCAATGAATTGAAATACATGACATTTTAATGTGTAAGTTCATGATACTCAAGAAATCTCACTGGCTTCAACTCTTGATTACTACCAGAAACAAGTCATTGAAAAAAAATCAGAGAATAGGCAGGGGGTGGGGGAAATCTAAATACCTGTTTAACATACTTAAGAGGTAACTAGATACTTGTTATGAGAGAATTTCTCACTAGAGGTATTTCAACTGAAAAGAATGTAGAGTACTATATAACCCTTAGAGAAATCAGGTAATGATCTTTAGTGGCTAGCTATCATCAAATGATCATTAGGAGCTAGCAAAAATTACATACCTTCTAACGGAAGCAAACATCTGTTAAATGCCCCCAATAGGGATATAATCCACAAACTATAATGTAGGAAATTCTAAGGGTTAAAGAAAATTTTAAAAAGAAAGCCTATTATAGATTCAAAGACAAGGGACATGTCAACTTGTCAGCTACTAAATGATGTGGGTCTTATTTGGTTCCAGATCCAAACACTGTCGATAGGGTGTTACACTGTTAACCCAAACCCTGTGCCCTCTGATAATTCAACTCCACCAGCAGCTATGCAGGACAAAGTTGGGCAATGTCCTAAAATTTATAGCCTCAAAAGCTGTTGGAGGGTCAGCTATGAACTGGTTCCAACTCTACAGAATGAGTGAAGAGTTATTAGGTGATATAAAGAGATTCTTAAATTTACTTTAAAATAGCTGAAGGGATGGATAAGAACATAAACGTAGTAAGTTACTGAACTGAATGTGAAAATGTTGGGGGAAAAGAGTGTGTCTGAGTGCCACTGGTCAGTGTGAACTGTGCCGGGAAGATGTGGATAAACCAAGGATGCTTAGCATATGTAGGACTCAAGTGACTCCAGGGCCAAGAAATGAGGATCTAAAGGGCAATTTCAATTAATACTAATTTGATTTTAAGGCAATTACCCATTTAGGAAACTTACGGTTTTTAATTTTTTGTTACAGAATCCTTCAACAATACCAAAAGACCAGTTTTCCAGAAAAAGAATCAACATCAGACTTTTTTGACTTATGCCATTGACTTTGGCTCCATCTTATTCAAGACCTCTGAACCATGAGGGCCAAGTGGAGAAAAAGTCAATGTGTAGGCTGAAGCATGAGAAAAAGGAGGCAGAAGTTGAAATGTTAGGGCGTGCACCTACAGACATAGTGGCAGGATAGAATGCCATAGGCTGGGAATGCTGGTACAAATTTGACTGCAAGCTCCTGTCTAGAACTTCTGACTTAAGGGACCTGGAGTTACCATCACCAATCACTATGAACACCTCTGAGAAGCCCATTTTTCCTCCTTTGAAACTAGCCCATTTTTGATGTTGCTCTGGATCCGAGACTAATTCTATGCTTAGCATACACAATGAATCAGCTCTTCTGCTGTCTTAGCTAAAGAATAAAAAGACTCCTCACATTTGTATTTTATTGCTATCTCTTTATCCTTAGCCCAACTGGTCACAGTTTAAGAGCCTGTGACTTAAGTGGGGTATATTGTTTTTCTCATTGCTCTGTTGTCACCTATTGTTTTCTATTTACTGATGATCTCACTTAAATGGAACATACAATGCATAGAGGTTAAAGTTTACCAGAGATTATCAGGGCCAGGGATGGGTGTGATCACCTGTAATTATTGTTTACTTCAGTGTTCAAACTGTGTGAAGTTTCTGATCTGCTGTGGTAAAAATAAATTTGATGGTCCATTGTATTTACTTCAGAAATGCCCATTCCATTTGATTCTGTAATTGTTAGAGTAAGACCCTTTTCATGTGATTTACAGTGATGTACATCACACTAGCTCCTCCTTTATTAGGGTTTGTTTTCACTGATTCCTACATTCAGAACTCAGGGGGAAAAAAAATAAAGGGTGGTGGTGGTGGTGAGAAACCTTTTTAAAAAGACAGCCTTAGAATTGAAGAGAATAAAGGCATAGTGATATCTGAAACGGTGAAGGGTTTATTTTCCAAAATTTGTCTTTACTCCAAATGAAGCCACCCCACAAAATTATCATTTAAGGTAGCTTTATAATGAAATGCAGATCAAATATGGGGGAAAATGTTAATATTTTATTCTCTCTAGTAACTGATGCACCAATAAAGGATATACTATTATGCTGTACTACAAACGTCAATATCCTGACTGAAAAAGGCAAAAGAACTATTAAAGGAGACACCATTAAATGGGTGGTCATCAGTTTGTTCCTGGAGTCCGGAAATCCTGAACTATTTATTAGATAAAAGAATGATAAAAAAATGTTCCACTTCTCAATTTGTGATGGGTATACAGAGCAATCTCATGCTTACAAAATATGAGTATTTAGAAGTGCCATCACATCTAAGGGGGGGTGGGGGGAAATTGTGCGATCTCAACTACAAAGCTAAGTCTGGCATGGGGCTGCCATGAACTGGAATGGCAATGTTAGCTTTTTTTGGTAGTGAGTGTTGGCCAAAGACTGTTACTGGTGAATCCATGTGGAAGCTGTGTGTATGACCATACTGTACCTGTACTTGGTAAAATGCCAATGTAACAAGTTGATGATATAATTATGAAAAATGAATGATAGGATTGCAAAGTAATTTTTTGATGAAGTCTATTTTCTTGGCTAATGTAGGAACATTCCAAACTACACTTAAAAAACCATAGAGTTCTAAATTTAGAATACCAATGTTAAGTTATCCTTAGATGGTAATATAAAGTTTACGTACAAAATCTTAAAGACAATTAGGAGTCTTTATCTTTGTAAAAACTAAGCCACCCAGGTTTTGGAGTGGGGGAGTTGCCTCACTGCTTGTGTTGGGGCACGTTTTTAGGGAATAGTAGTAAGCCTCATGTACAAGTCAAAAACATAAGGGACCTCAGCTACTGACAGGAACTCAGGAAATTATATTTTATATATGCCATATAACCTTCTGGAAAAAAGTGAGGTAGGAAGCCAAGTATATAACTAAGAGAGGCAACTCCAGTGAAACATATACATCTTTTGAGCAGGGCAGTGAAGTGATCTCACCTACTTTAAAAAAAACTGATCACTGCAAAGTGGATTAGGGGAGAAGCGAGGAATCGCAGCAATGAATGAACATTTAAAAAAAAAAAGTGAACTGGGGGAGAGAGGGGGGAAAGCGCAATAATGAATAAATGATAATACAACTTTTCTGTACGCTTTCGTAATCAATCAGTCTTGGCTAGCAAGGATGTTTGTGCATGAGGAAAAACCGGTTAAAACTTGCAGTGATTTATACAAATAGTATAATAGTGATTTAAAGTGATAGGACTGGAGATGGTGATTCTTGATGTATTTTGAAGGTTCATAATTTATAGATTCTTGGAATAAGCGTAAACAATTTACTGAAATTACATCATTTAAGAAAAGAACAAAGCAAGAGAAACCAGAAATTCCCTTTGGAAAGTTAACATTTTACCACAAAAAGGAGACTCTACTGGGCATGTTGCCAGGAAAAGGCCAGTCCTTGAAGGGCATCATGCTTGGAAAGGAGGAGGGTCAGCACAGAAGGCGACCCTGGATAAGTGGACTGACACAGTAAGTAGGGTAATGAGGGTAGGTGTGTCAGAGACAATGAGATGGGCTCAGACCTATTGTGCAGAGTCACCATGAGACACAGGTGATACCAGTATCACCACCACCAACCTGAAAAAGAATTTTCGTTTTTTGCCTCTCAAAGCTGGTTTGTGTATAACACAACTGTGTTATTAACGCAGCTTGACTGGTAAGCAAAATATTTTTGTTTGTGCCCTTCCTCGGGCAATTCTGGATTTTTAACATAAAGGCCAATTAGAGCTGCTAAGTATCTTCTAGTCAATCATAATGAAAGATAATGTCATACACTTTGTAAGATCAACTTGGTGAAAACTTGTGGCTACAACTTATTTTGAACCTGAATCCCAAGTTATTGCATGAGTGTTAAATGGTAAACTTCCCACATGATAATAACTATAAATAATTTACACTGAAACATTTTAATCATTTCTTATATTACGTTTAAAAAAGTGTATTATCTGTATTTCATATAATCATTTATGAATTTCACTTCTAGATATTACGCCAAACAATATAGAAGGTGGCATTGCATCTGATAATGTCTAAAACTGTGTTCTTAAAGGCAGAAATTCTAAAGATAAGTCACTTTCTGCTTCTACAGTCTGTATGTGACAATTGCAGGAGAGATTTTGGGACAAAGAAGACACAGAAAAGGACATAAGTTTCTAGGCTGCCCAACTACTACTTCAGGATTTGTTAACAGACAAGAATTTATCTCAATTACAGTAATGTTTTGCTCCTTGGAGCTGAAAGCAGCTTGAAATAGTAGCCCTAATTTTATCGCAGGTATGTTGAGATTCTTTGAAGATCTCAAACTGAAAATGGGTGAGGCTACCTGAGGGAAAAATACCTCTCTGAAACAGACTTGCTAACTTCATTGTACCAGCTCTTCCAAACTGCAGGCCAGTATTGGGAAAATTTCTCCAACTGGTTAGGTCAGGTAACCAGGAAGTATTAATCATGTAACATTCTTAAAGCAAAATTTCAGAACCTCACCCCTAAAATGTGAGTTTAAGATGTTTCTCATATTTATTTTTTTTTTGAATCCACAGTGGATTAAAAGAACAACCAAAGATGTACGAGTACCAGCTACAGAAACCATAAGGTAGCCAAAAAAAATATGCCTTAGGGAAGGGAGGAGAAGAGTGTCCACAATTACCTTGTTTTAAAAGTTGTATCTAAGAGAGAGGAAGCTTCTCCATCCCATTTACCCACAAGGCACAGCTGGCTTGCCTTCCAAGGCTTCACATTGAAGGGCTCCATGATTAACTAGAAGAATCTTACAACATAGACTCTAGGTCTATGACTGACTACTTTCAATGCGTGCTTGAGACAGTTTTACCCTTTGAAAATATGGCTAATTCAGCACAAAGCAATACCACTCTTTAATACATTGTCCTTCCTCTCCCACCTTTAACATGCAGCTGGAAAATGACAGGCTAGGGATAGAACACTGTGAACTTTGCACTGTTGGAATTTATCAGTCATTAAATGATCATTAGCTAACAGTCACTAAATGGACACATTAAGGAAATTATATATAGAATACTGCAAAAACACAGTAAGACTGAAGTTTGCCTATTTCTGCTCAGGAAGTCCATTCATTCCCAAGCGTCATGATGTTTTCCTTTCTGCTCCAAAATTTACTATTACTGTTTCTCCTCCTTCTGATCTTCCTTTTGTTCCCCGGTGCCAGAACTTCCAGAGCCTTCTCGTTCAGATGCCATCTGTTAAGGAAACATTGTTAAATTATAAAAAGCAGCAACCACATATTCTTCACCTATTCCATTCTTCTTCTTCTCTGTCTTGTACATTACTAGTAGTTCCTGGAATTCTATCCTTTTGACCCCAACCCCTGGCTCAAGAAATCAAAAAAGCAAGAACGTTTCAACTAATACTTCCAATTCCACAAACAGCTATGCAAGGAATAAATCACTGATAGCTGCAATCAAAAGCAGTTGAACATCAAGTTAAAAGCAAAATTTACATAGTGGAACCCTTTAACTTGTACCTTTTTGTATGCCATTTCAAAGAGCTTCAAAGATGCCTGCTGAAGGGAGGATGCTGCCTGCCTTATGTTTTCTCCTGTTTCACTGTCTTTTCGAGCCAGGAGTTCTCTCATTTTGGAAATCTCTTCTTTTAGCTTGTTGCACTTAGGAAAGAAAAAGGAAAAATTTCATTTTTCTTTTTTTTTTTGCAATCACAAGAGGCTTTACTGACGAAGCTTCGGGACGACTTGTATCTCACGCAGGAGACAGGGAAGTCGACCAAAAATTTCATTTTTCAAAGTCTACCCCTCCATACCACGTAGCTGTCATATTCAGAAACATTTTTTTTTACTATGAAGAGAATAAGAGCAACGAACTTCACTAATAATCATGGCAATGCCTCCCAGCTTCTTAGCATTTAAAAACAGGACTAACCTCATCAGCAGGCAATTGGTCCTTGAATTCTTCCATCTTGGTTTCTGTGTCATGAATAATTCCTTCAGCCATGTTAATGGCCTCAACGCGTTCCTGAGAGAGATTAAAATTTAGTATGAACAAATACTTCCCATCAACATAGTGTTCAGAATGTCCACACTGGGCAAGACTATTGCTGTGATATACAAAGTAAAAGGGAGATATCTGTGTGGCACAGGACAGCTTTAACGATCTGAGCTAGATTTTGTAATATGAGAATTTTGGTAAGGAAAGGAATAAGAAAAGCATTCCAGCATAAATTATGATCAAGGAGGGCTAAAACTTGGGACAATTTCAATCCTACATGCCCAAACTCCAAGCTTTACATAGAAGCTCGGCAATGAAAAGGCTGAAGAAAAGTAATCACCTTCTTTCGTCGGTCTTCCTCAGCGTATTTCTCTGCATTTTTAACCATATTCTCAATATCATCTTTGCTTAATCCACCAGAAGATTGGATCACAACTGTAGAGTTCAAAAGAAAATTACTTTCTGGCTAAGTTATATTCTTTTATCCCATTAACAAAGGAAATTATTCCTGCTCAGGTAGTCAATATTGACAAAATTATGATAGATTATCTTGTTTTACAGTAAGCAAGAAAGAAGCCAAAGTTCTGAAATACATACACAAAAGCTAACTGGTTTCCCACAGAAATGGACAGTAATTTGCCTAAAGTCAGGGGAAATGAATATACTTCCTAATGTAAATCTTCAAACAATGGAAAAGGAGCATTTTCTGAGGATGGAGTAGGGGAAGTCATGTAAAACCTAGAGACTTTAGTTCTTAGGGACAACGTCTGATAAATAAGTGGACTTACTCTGTTGCTCACGTCCTGTGCCCTTATCTTTGGCAGAAACATGTACAATTCCATTAGCATCAATGTCAAATGTAACTTCAATTTGAGGGACTCCACGAGGGGCTGGGGGAATCCCAATCTAAAACAAAAAAACCCAGAAATAAGCTCTGCTTACAGTGCTACATTTTTTAAATCTATACTGGTTTTCTGGAAGAATTCACTTGATTTGTAAAGTACTATGAGAACATTGTATTGTGTGCACAAAATTCTCAGTGTAGTGTAAATATTATTTAGAAATTTTATTACTATCTGAAACAAAGTGAATCAGCAAGTCTCCCTACAACAAACACTTCAATTAACTAAGAACCAATATGCAATGCAGATTAGAAACTAAGGAGGGTGTGCCTTTTTCCCCCTTCCCCCATAAATTCAGCTATCAGGAGAAACCAAGAATTCCTCCCAGCTATCCCTGTTTCTGAATACTTTCTCAGGTTCTTTAATGAATTTCTAAAGCAAAAAGGAACAAGGAAGATTTTCAGATAAAGACTGAAGCCACTCATGAATCAGTTTCTCTTCATGCCTTCTTTAAGAAAACATAGCATGTATTTATGTAGATAAGTGCTTTACATAGTCTAACTTCACATAGAGATTAAAGAGAAAAATATTCATACTTCAAAATACATACCAAAGTAAACTGACCAAGAAGTTTGTTATCTCCAGCCATCTCTCTCTCACCCTGGCATACTTTAATCTCCACTTGTGTCTGTCCATCAGCAGCTGTAGAAAATACCTAGGAAGGAAGGAAAGAAACTTTCTGTGTTAGTAGTTTAATGATAAACTACTCCCTTTTTGCAAACAAAATGCAAACCAAAAAGAAATTCACATCCCAACACACACTATGTTTAAAACAAAGGCCTAAGTCTTTGCAAGGAGTAAGAGTAGGAGTAGCACAGCAAAACAGCTTATAGTACTACAGTTTGAGTTAAGCCAATGCATTTTACAAGAGATGCAGCATTATCACATAGGTTCAAGGAGTTGTTAAAGAAAAAGATGCCGAAAGATGGTCATCTGGAGAAAATGTGCCTGGTTGTGCTCAGTATAAGGAAGTCACCACACATATTTCTCTTCAGAATGATGTGTTGTCAAATACATCACTGCACAAATAAAGCAGTCAACTTTTCAAGGAGAAACAGGAAAACAAAAAAAGACAGGGAAAAAAATCAGGAAATACCTCTGAACACAAGACCAGTCATCCCCAAACTGCCTTGCTTTGTATCTTAAGATCCATTCACTATACTTCAATCAGCCACAAGATAAGCACACCCACACTTGGGTCACTTTCCCCTCCACTGTCATTAAAAACAGAAGAGTACACAAAACAGTCCCAAATACTTGGGTGTCTTGTGGCAAATTGTCTTAATCCTATGAAATAGAGTACTGATGCTCACTCTTCCTGCAACTGCTACTGCTGGGTATCAAGAACTTTCTGAGGAACAAAATGTGACATACTCTTGTGATGTCTGTTAGTATATACTGGTTCATTTTTAAATATTGTGTCTATATGTGTGAGTCTCAGTTATCTAGTACTTCCCTAACAGACATTTTTTCTGTCTCTCTCTGTATCTCCCAAACAATGATCCAGTTAATACAATGAATACACTTAAATAAACACACCTATTGTGAAGTTAAAAAAAAAAAGTGACTCTCAATACCCACAAGTCACTGGTTTGGATGAGTAAATGCAAACAGTTTTCTGGAAATGTCTTAAGTGGTTGCTATCATATCCATCACAGAACCTAGTATCTTTATGACAAGAGAGGCAGAATGGTTCTTACCTGGCTCTTCTTGGTTGGAATAGTGGTGTTCCTGTTAATAAGTTTTGTAAAGACACCACCCAAAGTCTCAATACCCAGAGAAAGCGGAGTGACATCCAAGAGCAACACATCGGTGACATCACCAGCCAACACACCTCCCTGAATGGCTGCTCCAATGGCCACAGCCTCATCAGGATTAACAGCCTTGCTTGGGGATCGCCCAAAAAGATCCTGCACAGTCTGTTGTACCTGAGCATTAAGGATAAGGAAATACAAAATTTAAGGTTTCCAACTAAGATTAAAGACAGGCTATACAGGCTGCAAAGCAAGAACTGCACTTTCAACAGGATCTGTGCTCAGTCATTAATTTTCTACACATTTGTCTTTTCAGAATGATGTGTTGATAAGTAAAATGCATCACTGCACAAATCTTTGTTGAAGAGATACAATTAGAAACCCTAGGCATTATTCATATACTGAACTTCCAAAAGATCCTTTTAAAACTATTTAGTACCACGGTTTTAAGCTCTCATCACAAAAATGGCTTTATCCCCAAACATTCTGTAAGATGCTATCTTTTAGACATTCTGTCTTCCTTTATCTCTTTTCTATACCCTTGAATTTTATAAAAAAGGGGCTGAAACTCTTAGGGAAGCATGAATTTCTCTTTCAAGTTGCCCTGACAGAATGGGGCAACACATTCATAATTCTCTACACCACTACAAGGTCAGGATGAGCCAAACCAAACTTGATGGCAATGGGCATAAAGAAAGCATGTGTTGGTGCTCTCTGTGCCACAAATGTTATAGGTACTATGGTGTTGAAAACTTGTTTTGCTCGGTGAAAGGATACTGCTAACTACAGAGACTTTTTTGCACTTGTACTGTTAGACTGAACCTGGATTTCACGGTTTGGTATCCTTTACCCCCACCTGTTTCTCTAATAACAACTGTGAGTAAAAAGAGGTAAAGTGGAGCCTGTGTGGTTATTTACAAAAGAGTATCGTACCCAGTGATTAGTGCATGAGCCTGGGGGCCCAGGTATGACTGCCCAGGACTGTGGATGTTAAAGGGAACAGTTCGACTTGGTGGAGTTAGCAGAAGTAAGACCTGGCTGTCCCTATGTTATCTTTGCTCCTTTTACAGGTACTTACCTTGGGCATCCTAGTCATTCCACCAACAAGAATCACTTCTCCTATATCGCTTTTATTGACTTCAGCATCCTGCATAGCTTTTTGGCATGGGGCGATAGTTCTCCTGATTAAGTCAGTGACAATCCCCTCAAACTGAGCACGGGTCAATTTCATGTTCAAATGCTTCGGTCCAGAAGCATCCATTGTGAGATATGGCAAGTTGATGTCAGTCTGGCAAAAGGAATGGTTTAACTGAATGTCAGCAAGCACAGTAGAGATGCTTGAGTTTATTATTTACATTCAACTAAATAGCATACATGAAATGTGGAAAGGCCCAAGGCAGGTTAGACAGTTTAATCAGATCTAAAATTATTAAAAGGAGCCCTGATATCACCAGGGATTAAGTGCTTTACTAGCTGTTCTTTGGGAGAAAGATAAGGTGGTCTTCCAAGATTTATAGCCTTGGAAACTCTATGGGCAGTACTACACAATTATACAGACCAGTGAGTTTTATGACCAGTGGTTTTTAACAAAGAATAGACAAGCTGGGAATATCCCAGCTCAAGAGACAGAGAATCATAATGCCACTAAACATGCATTCAGCATCAATAAGTGTTCATCTCTATGCATTTGCCTTGTCTAGGTATTGCATACAGAGCACTATTAGCAAGGTTCATGATCTATAACATATAAATGGGTTCATATAAAACTTCTTTCGTGTTTGTCTTAACATTAATAGTGTATTTTTAAATTTATGGCCTTGGAAACCTTTCAGGCAGTTCTACTCTCTTCTACAGGGTGCTGTAAATTGGAATCAAGTCATTGCCAATGGGTTATAGAAAATCAACAAGCAATACTATTCTCAATTGACAGCCTGGAAATGGAACCAGAGTTCAAAGTATTCAACACTGGACTGAAAGTCTCAGAGTGAAAGGCTAGAAAAATGAAAGGCATTCAAATTTTGGATGGGCTTATAAGTATATTCTGCAAAATAGCAAAACACAAGGTCAACATACAAAAAATCATATTCTTCTACACCAACAAAGAGAACATCAAAAAGGAGGAAAAGACCAAACAAATGAGTAAGCAAGCAAACGAAAACCATTGACAACAGGTCCCCAAATGTTTATGAATCTAACCAGGGACATAAACTTATTCCAAGAAGCCAAAATGGAAAACCACACCATGCTCATGGATAGGAAAATTTAAACGTGAAAATATCAATATATTTTTTATTAGTGATAAAGTCCTGATACATGCTAACAGATAAACATGAACCAAATAAACACGTGAAATCAGACATAAAGGGAGAAACACTGTATGATCTCACTTATATATGCAATACACAGACACAACAGTTGTAGCAACTAACAATAACAAAGCCAATTCCAAGGGAATTCTTTAACCAGATGGACAAACCTTATAAAGAAAAGAAAGTGTCCGATTAATCGAACTCAAAGCCTACTATACAATCATAACAGTCACAATAGCCTGGTACTGGTATAATATTTAGATCAATGAAACAAAACTGGGAATTCAGATTCAAATCAATCTACCATGAGACATCTAATCTTTGACAAAGAGCCAAAGCCTGCTAAATGGGGAAAAGACGGTGCTAAGAAAACTGTCCACCTGTAGAGAAAATAAACCAGGAGACATACCTCATATAAACAAATTCAAAATTATTATGTAAATTAATCTGATTTTTACTCGTTACCTTGTATCCTGTCACTTTGCTTAATCTTTCTATCCTAGTTTTTCTCATGGATTGTGAAAGAAAAAAAAAATAGGTACAGCACTTAATTAGATGCTGTGGAGTCAGCTCCTGCAACTCTATGTAAAACAGGAGAATCCACTATGCAATTATCACAATATGCTATGTTTAAACCTATTGTTCTGCAGTCACTATGTCCATTCATCTCACTGAGGGTTTTTCCTCTATCTTGTCTTTTATCACAGACTGACTCTTGATACAGTCTGTGAGACCACTGCTATTGCTGAGAAGCATTCTGGTTATACTCCAAGACAAATTTGTTCATTTGGAATTCCATGGTATTCAATAATGTTTGCCAATACTACATTTTTGATCTGTCCATTCATTACACATACTGCACATAAATAATTGAAAATGCCATGGCTTGGGTCAAGTGTACCATAATCATCAAGGTATTATCTTTTCTCATGAGTAAAGAGTCCTTGGCAACAATGTGTCCATAGCTGCTTTTGTGATGAATGTGAATCTAAAATGGAAATCCCTGACAATTTCAATCTTGTCTATTTTTATAAAGCTGCTGCTTACTGCTCTAAGTAATTGTGGGGATTTTCATGTTGTAACAATGCATAAGGAAAGAGAATTTTTGAGCTTTATCCATGTCTTCATTTTCAACAAGAAAGGTTTTATTATCTGAACATTCCGAGCTGTTTATTTATGAGTCTGCCAATCTGTGATGCTGGTTTTTTTTTTAAAAATATAATCCAGCTTCTTGAAATTATTTGCTCAGCATATAAATCAAAACAGTATGGTGAAAGGACAACACTGACGCAACTCTGTTAATTTTAAACCATGCAGAATCATCTTGTTCTGTTCAAACAACTGCTTTCTCATTTCTGGAATTCCCATTCTTCTCAATTTTATCAATAAATTATTGTGATCCAGAATAAAATGCCTTTGCATAGTCAATAGACCATAAACATAACTCTGGTATTCTTGGCTTTATGCCATATTATTGGGGACAATGCCAGGGGCCCTAATACATGGCACAAATAGAATACCAAACAAGTAAAAAGGCTCACCAAGAGCAGAAGATGAACTAGAAAAACAGATCTTCCTAAAGAGAAAAACATTAAAAAACTTCTCCTGAAGAGAATCTATAGACTAGGAATGATATAATTGACAAAGCACTAATTTCTAAAATTGATAGAAAATATCAACACTTCAATAATGATAAAAACAATCTAATTAGAAAATTCAAAACCTTAACAGCATAAAAAATTGGATTAAAAAAAGAGGCAAAGGGTAATTCATCTTTAGGTGGGTAACAAATACAAGAGGAAACGTTTGTGATTATTAGCCACTGTTGTTACGTGTCACTGAGTTGGAACAAATCCATAGGTGACCCTCCAGCAGGCTCGCAGAGCACCTGGTGCCTTTGGGTTGGCAGCACAGTTCTTTATCACTAGGCGAGGGCTTTCTTTCATTAGCCCTTAGAGATGCAAATCAGAGATCACATCAGCAAGATAGGCAATGAAAACCCATCCTTGCTTTAACCCACTTAAATGCTAGTGAGTGTTGAGATTAGAAATCACCCAAAAGCTGGTGGGATTATAAAACTGTACAACCACTGAGAAAAATGGTATGGAAAGAGAAACTCCATAATCCAGAGCAGTATCATTGCTAGATATAAGAAGAATACTATACGAATAGATAAATACACATTATGTTCAAGCAGCATTATACACAGATGACAGAAACTACCTCCATAACCAATATATACCATAGAATATGATGCAACAATAAAGAGTAACAAGAAATGTATGAAACACAACATGGATAAACATGGAGGAATCCATGAAGCGAACCACATTTGATGGTTTTTTTAAAAAAAGAAAGGGGGAAGGAGGAAATTGTGCAAAAATGAAAAAAATTTTTCCAAAGAGAAAGTGAACTGGGGAGCATAGAGAGGAAAATGTGCTACAAGAATGTAAATCCAAAGTCTCGGTAAACTTTAGCTAAAATCTCAATAAAAACTTTTGGTTCCAATGCGACAGGATACAACATATGAAGGAAAGGCCTCCATCCACAAATCCACACTAGTTAATGGTTACCAGGGAAAAAGAAGGAAGCCACTAACTGGAGTGTTAGTTATTAGGTGCTGCAGAGAAGACTCACAGTGAGCTTATGAACTGACCTAAACCCTTTCCTATCTTGTGCCATCCTTCTCATCTCTGACAGTATCTGAGTCCACTATTTACAGTCACTGTGTATCAACCCTTCTGACTGAAAGTCTTCTGCTGTTGTTAGGTGCAGAGTATGACTCATAGCATCGTATGAACAACAAATCTGAACCCTGTCCTATCCTGTGCCACCTTCACACTTCCTCACATACTAGAGCCTACTGTGGTAGTCACTGTGTCAATCTACCTGATCGAGGGTCTTCCTCTTCTTTGCTGACCCTCTACCCTTCCTAGCATTATGTCTCTCTCCAAGGAATAGAGCCTCTCCTAACAACATGGCTGAAGTAGGTGAAGCGAAGCCTCCTCATCCTTGCCTCCAAAGAGCTGCACTTCTGACTGCACTCACTTTAAGACCTATTTTATTTGTTCTTCTGGTAGTCCATGAGACGTCCAGTGCTTCTTCAAAGGCATCAATTATTCTTCCAACATTCCTATTTACTGTCCAGCTCTCAGATGGATATCATGTGATTGTAAAGACCATGGCCTGAATCTTTTGCTGACTTCCCCTTTTCAAATCATGATGTCCCTTCCAAGAAATAGCTCTTCCTAACAACATGCCCAAAGCTAAAAACATCTTTGCTTCCAAGAAGCACTGGCTGCACTTTAAGACGTTATCTGTTCTTTTGGCAGTCCACGGGATATGCAGTAAGTACTCTTCTCCAACACCGCGTCTCAAAGGCATCTATTCTTCAGTCATCCTCAGTCACTGTCCAGCTCTCAGTAAATACTTACCAACTTGGGTGAAGATGGCAGTAATAAACAAAGGAGAAGTCAGCATAACATGACAAAGGCAAAGGAACAGTGGAATGTACACGTGTAAAAGGCAACAAGAGTAAGTACTTCTGTAATTAGGGAGCTCAGGTGGCCAAAGTGGAAAGAAGCTGCACTGCAATCACAAAAGCACGCAGATCAAATGCACCAGCTGCTTTGTGGGAGAACGCTCAGCCATTCCTCCCTTGCAATGTGCTGCCTCTGAAAATTCCCTACAGGGTGAGCTAAGAGTTGGTTCTGACTTGATGGTACAAAGTATTATCACAAACATCACCCTGCAGTAACATTAGAAGTAGATACAAAAGAACAAATGAGAGTAAACTCACATTTGTGGGTTAACAGAATAATTTCTTCTACATACATATTTTCAAGTGCTGCAAATGACATCCAAGTGTACGTATATGTGTGTGTATCTATTTATATAAATAAAATAGGGCATAGAGGGACTGTTATGTAAACGTTGGGGACCACCATGACTGCAGAGGAACATTATATACAACAGATTGAAACCCTGCCAGATCTGGTGTCTCCACACAATTTCTTCTGTGCTTATGCTTACTGCTAGTCAGTGTCAATCTATCTCAGTAAGGTTGGTCTTCTCTTCCTCTGACCCTCTACCTTTTTAAAGTATGTTGCATTTTAAGGGACTGGCCTTTCCAGACAACATGCCCAAAGTATGTAACACAAAGTACCTCTAAGGAGCACCCTGACTGCACGTCTTAGTTTATCTGTTCTTTTAGCAGTCCATGGTATATTCAATGCTCTGCCAAAAGCACAATTCAAAGCCACCAATTCACTGTCCTTCAGGACATATAAATCAAATGAAAATACTATGGCTTGGGTCAAGTGCACTCCTTGCTCTGCAGCACTTTGAAGAGGTTCTTGACTGTAATTTGCCTAATGCAGTATGCCATTCAATTTCCTGACTGCTGCTTCCAGGGTGCTAATTGTAAACCTAAGTAAATCTAGACCCTCAACAACTTCAATCTACTCCACTTATCATTTAATGTGCCAGTGATGAGGATTTTTATTCTTACTGCTGAGATATAATCCATATTGAAAGCTGTAGTCTTTGATCTTCTTTAGTGAATGCTTGAAGTCCTCCTCATTTTCAGCAAGTTGTAGTAGTTGCAAAACAAGCTACTGATGAGTCCTCTTCTGATCCTGATGCCACAGTCTTCTTGATGTAGTCCAGCATTCTGTTGAATTACTCTTTGGAATTGGTATAAAACTGACATAAGAGTGGTGGTGGAAATTTCTTAGTCATAACTAAATATCTCAAGTTGTTCAGCCACTGGGCTTAAAGCTTAGGACATTTAGAGGACAGGCCTAAGGTAGTGCATAAAGATAATCTATATCCTATTTTGGTGAGTAGCTACCAGGACCATTTTGGGAATAGTCATCTGGAATGAAATGTGTTGTTTCTTCCCAATTAAAGCAAGGCTGAGTGAAAGAAACCATTAGTCCTGTGGACCAAGAGAACCACAGACGAGGAACCAGATGGTGCTTGGCTGTCACTAGTAACTATTCTGATTGGGCTCACAATCCAAAGTCCTGAAGAGAATGGGAGGAAAAAAGTGCCAAACAAGAGTGTTAAAATAAAACAACACACGCAGGTTTATTGGTCTAACGGAAACAGGTGGGACCCTGGAGACTATGGTGCTTAGATATCCTTCAGACCTGGACTCACCTCCAGGGATCAGCTTTTAGTCAAGCAACAAATGGGCCCAGAGGCTGAACAGGAGACTGATGAGAACCACAGTCTTTAGAACAACAATACGAGATTAAAAGTCCAGGAGCAAGGCAGCTCTGGTGGCCTAGTGGCAAGACGCTGCACTACAATCCCAGAGGTACACGGTTCAAAGCCACCAGATGCTCTGCTGGAAAAGGAGGGGGCAATCTCCTCCTGTACCAGTCAGATCTGATTTGATGGTACACGTAAAAATAATAATTTAAAAAAAAAAAAAGGCCAGGAGCAAGACTGTGAGAGGGCAGGAAGGGAAAGAAGGATGAATGGAATATATAGAGTCCAGGGATGAAGTGAAAAGAGCTGCATTTGAAGGGATTCCAACTAAAGTCATAAAACCAAATGCATGTAATCTATTCAGTGTGTTCTGTAAGATTTCACTCAGAAATTCACATAAAATAGCTATAACTTTGTAAGTAAAAAATGTTTTCAACTCCCAAAGACAGTTATAAACCATATTTAAAAAACAACTTCATTTATCTTCATAATTGAATAATCTATTGCATTTATAATATTTTGTTTATCCTTCCTTCATTCTTCAATAGATATCCGCTATTAATGCTGCCATTTATATTGGTAATAGCTGATACTCTTCTTTAAATATTTTTTATTATTACACTGCTTCTTGTCTTGTATTTATTTTAACCCCTATTCTAACTACCCTATTACAAAGTTCAGCCATCCTGTATAACAGTAGGAACAATATGTAGAATTTGACACTCCTCAATGACTAGGGATGATAGAGAATTGATGTCTTTGAGCTGTGGTGGTGGAGAAAAGTTTTGAATCTACCATGGACTGCTAGGAGAACAAACAGGCTGGTCCAGAGAAGATAAAACCAGGCTGCTCTCTGGAGGCAAGGATTCTGAAGCTTTGTCTGACATGCTACAAAGAAAGGGAGACCTTTGATGAAATGGAGTGATACAGTGACTGAGGTTATAAGGTTAAGTGTGTGAGAGACAGTCAAGTTGACACAGGATAGAGCAGGTTTTAGGGCTATTGTACATATGGTTGCTATGAGTTACAAGTGACTTGATGGCACAAAATGACAACAACAATGCTTTAAAAAAAAAGAGGTTTCACTGACAGTCAATTTGCAGTAAGCACATTACAGACTCCACAGCTTCTAGAAATACTTCTTACCTTCCCATGTGGGAGGTCAACTCAGAATTGACACAAGATCTGTTCTCAAAGAATATGGAAATGGTTTTCTGACTCAGATCTAACATGCTTTGCAAAGTGAAGCTTCGCTTCTCAAAGTGCAAACTACAAAAACAACTGAAATGCAAGTTAAGCATATGTGCCTAGAATAGTAACCCAAATAATTGGAAGGGCCAAGATGAAGCTCTATAATTCCTAACAAGAGGTGTTTTAAAGTGAAAATAATAGTTCTGAAAGCCTAAATATTCCAACAGATCAGTACTAGGGAGCTCTAGCAGAGTAGGGGTAAATGAGTTTACTGCCAACCCAACAGCAAGTGGTTCAAATCTACCAGCTTCTCTGAAGGAAAAAGGTGGGCAATCATTCTCTCCCATGTGAAACACCTCCTGCAAGGAGGGTCAGCTATGAGTGTTTTCTAATTGGATAACACCTAACAACAGGCTGCATAAAAAAAAAAAAATAATCAACACCTAGCAGTAATATCAATGCCTTTAAGAGCAAGCAGCATATGCGCTGCCATTTAGATATCAATATAATTATCTAATAAACACAATTTCTAATTTAAATGTTTAAAAAATTTCAGCTCATCTGATAAAAATGAGCTTTAAGTCCACTCAGCTTCTTTACTCATAGTGGGTTTTTTCCACTAGCCAGAAAAACTAGCTGATACCAGGCTAATTAAGACATGTAATTCAAATACACTCAGAATGAAAACATCCATCAGCGCAGCTGTAATTTTTCCATCCTACCTGCACAGATGAGGAGAGTTCACACTTGGCCTTCTCAGCAGCTTCCCGCACCCTCTGAAGTGCCATGTTGTCTTTTGTCAAATCAACTCCTGACTAGAAAGTGAAAACATAAAACCAGTATGATATTTTAAAAGAAGTTGGAATTGTTCCTTTATAACCAAGAGAAATTTCTAGCTCAAGGAGTTTTTGCAATTCCTTTTATACTACTGGACAATCAGCGTTCGATCCTTTTAACTCAGTTGCTTGTGCCCAATTTGAATAATTCAGACAAGCCACTGAACCCGAAATGCAATTAATTCACTCCCTCTAAAGGGTAAAAATAAAGCAAACAACAACCTGCGTAAATTCTTAATATTCTAATGTCTATCTACACATTAAGTACACCGGTAACTAACCTCTCTCTTGAATTCTTTTACAATATGTCGTAGCAAGGCCTGGTCAAAGTCTTCTCCACCTAAGAAAGTGTCTCCATTGGTTGATTTCACCTCAAATACCCCTTTCTGAATTTCCAAGATAGAAATATCAAAAGTTCCACCACCTAAATCATATACAGCAATGCTTTGGAGAAGAAAAAAGGGGGAGGGGAAGAGACTTTTAGAAATAAAATCTATGAGAAAGGTATAAATTTCAGTAACAAAGTGAAAGTAGAAAAATTTTCCTGCAGTTGGTGTAAGTTGTAATTATGACATTTAAATTTTCAAAATGAGATACTATCGTCTGTTTACATGTAGACCTAATAAATCGTCCCATCTGACTATCTCACCCAGAGAAATAAATTCACTTTTCTAATACATGGCTTTATCTCTGTGTCTCTGACACACACATACACAGAGGGAGAAATAAATTCCCTTTCCAAAAAGCAGTAAAACTTGTTGATTGATAAAGAGCTGAGCATGGCTCATTATGACCCTATAAACAAAAGACCTGAAGCCTTTCTATAACTATTGTCATTTCCAAAGTGCAGAGTTTTCAGAGGCATGCTGTTTAGGAAGTGGATGCTACTCCTGTTTCCAAATGAAAAACTTCTAGAGAAATTAAATATTGAAAAATATTTCCAGGGGCTCTGAACTCTTATAATAGTTAACAAAGTTACCAATACTTTTAAAAAGTGTTGTCAATGATGATTTAAACCAGAAACATTTGAATTTTAAGCAGAATATATGCAATGGCTTAATGAAAGGAGTTAGGCAGAAGAGAAACATGAATCACCCAATACTATTATATAGTATGTAGCAGTAAAACTAGTATTAGCCGAAACCATTCAATATTCAAAAACAAAGCAGGACATTTTTAGTCTTAAATACAGACCTAATCACTAGTAAGTCCAGATAATTTAGGATAAATTCTAAGGCTCTATAAACTTTGTTGCACACGTTCAGATGGCATTTACCACACAAACTTACATTTTATCTTCTGACTTGTCTAGACCATAGGCCAGAGCAGCAGCTGTGGGTTCATTAATTACCCGAAGCACATTTAATCCAGCTATCTGGCCAGCATCCTTAGTGGCCTGCAGAAAACCAAGAAAAAGAAAAATCTAGCATGTCCCCCAGTGTTGTCTCTAAATTACCATTAATTTTCATAAGAATACTAAAGGACCATACCTGCCTCTGAGAGTCATTGAAATAAGCTGGGACTGTGATCACAGCATTTTTTGCTGCATGCCCCAAGTAATTTTCTGGAAAACAAATGAAAATATAATAAAGACACTCGTTCAAAACCCTACATCCCATAAATGAGATCTCTAGTTAACGTTTTTGTAAAGTTCTTCAAGCACACACTCAGAAATGTCTTTCTCATTGTCAACTACTCATTGTTAGGCTTGAAATGGTCCCTGGTTTCCACAAGAGTTCTGATAGCCCAGGGGTAAGTAGTTGTTAACCTGAAGGCATATGGTTTGATTCCACCAGATGCTTCACAGAAGAATTTCCTCCCATGTGATTTACTGTCTCTGAAAAACCCTGATTTGATGGTACATAAGTTTCTGCAAATGGGATGCTATGAATTTTACCCAACCAGGACAAGATATATGCAGTGGGGGTCTAGCTTTCAATACAGAATATTAATGATCTACTGGGAGGGGTAGGACAATTCCTATTAGGAAAACTTAAAATTTCAGTCTGGTGGGAAATAATAACCAAGTTTTGCCATTACAGGTGCTCAGCACAAACCCACCAGTGCCTCATCTAGGGGACAATGGCAAATGGAAGTTAATGATCTCAGGGGGATCATCCATTTCCCTTGAAACCACCTTTCAACCAAGTACACTAAACTCAATTTACCTGCAGTCTCCTTCATCTTCATCAACACAAATGCTCCAATCTGACTTGGAGAATAGAGTTTTCCATGTGCCTCAACCCAGGCATCACCATTGGAAGCACGAACAATTTTGAAGGGTACGTTTTTACTGAAAGATACAAAATTTGTACTTGTGAAAACTTGTCGGTGTACCAACCATAGCAAGATTACCATGTCAGGAGCGCCCACCCTTTATCCTAGCAGCTCAGGCCAACAACAAAAATCTCTAGAATCTAATTCCTGACACGTGAAAACATTCTAATGAAGCACTAACATTCAATTGCTATTAGCAGACACTAACCCATGGGAATCTCATGCAAATTGGAAGAATGCCAGCCCATTTTTGCATCATGCCCATAATCAGCTGACTATTTTGATCCACAGGGTTTTCAGTGACTGATTTTTCTAAGTAGATCACTGGGCCTTTCTTCCAATCCAATCTCTGTTAGTTTGGAAACTCTGCTGAAATTGGCTCAGCACCATAGTAACATGTAAGTGTGCGCCTTTAATAGCCATAAACAAGATTTACCTAAACATCTACCTAGGGCTGCAGTCTATTTAAGTGGAGAGGGAAGGTAACTATGTCCTTATGTGCCTGCCTTCTATGTTCAACATTAATTTACATGGCACAGATGTGCATAATCAAACCTTCAAATAGTGTTAATAGAGAATAAAAGAGAATCTGTGACAACTTTAAAAAAAAAAAAGAAATTTGATAGCCCTGTAGCAGGGACAAGGCTTACTCTCCAAGCTCCCAATCAAAGTGCTGAATGTTTCTGTGTGGCCCTTTCAAACAAGTATATATTCTCTATTACTCACGTGTCTTTCTGTACTTCAGGGTCATCATATCGCCGGCCAATCAGACGCTTAGTGGCATAGAATGTGTTGTTTGGGTTTGTCACAGCCTGTCGCTTTGCTGGCATGCCAACAAGTCGCTCACCATCTGCTGTAAAGGCCACAACTGAAGGGGTGGTCCTGGCACCTTCAGCATTCTCCAGCACCTAAAACTCCCAAGGTAAGACAGGGAATGGGGTTCCAGTTAGCATTTTGCATCAAAAGCTTATAAAATAAAATGTATTAAAAAAGTTAAAAAAAAAAAAAAGATCAAAAACAGTACTACGCAATCTCAGAGGTACACGGTTCAAATCCACCAGATGCTCTGCTGGAGAAGGAGGAACATTCTCCTCCTGTATCAGTCAGATCTGATTTGACGGTACACACAAAAAATAATAAAATTAAAAACAAACAAACAACCAAAACAAAACAAAACAAAACCCAACAGTACTACGATGAATACTAACACAGTAATTACTATTCCAAGAAGTAGATACATCTAAGAACATTACTTTGTTTAGAACATAACCCTTGACTTTACTGAAGGAAGTTACTTGCTTCTAGCCTGTTTCTGCATCTGGCTTGATAAAAAAAAAAAAAAAGTACAAGACTGTAATTACAATAGTAATCAATAATGCGCTCTGGCTTCTTGGGCAGAGACAGGTAAGGCAGGCTCCGGGTGCTTGTGGCTTTCTCTGTTCCCCACTGGGGGGTCGGCAGAACGGACTTGCCAGATGAACTGGGGGTCTCTGGCCTAGAGTTGGCCAGTATTTGGGTATGTTTGAAAGGTAAAATACTGAAGGGCCCTCAGGACAATGTTTGGTGGCGCTCCCCAGATGAAACAAGCTTGGAAGCAGGAGTGGTATCCACTTCCATAAATAGCTTGCTTCTGGAAACCCTGTGAACCTGGAGAAAGGATGAGAGTCATGCATGCAAGTGTCAAGGACTTTTGTTCACAGGGTTGCTGGGAGTTGCCTAAGACTAGACGGCACTTCACCACCACCACCACCACTGCAAGTTGCTCTAACAAGACCTAATGGTCAGTTAATAGCAGGGCACTGAACTGATAAATTCAGTTATGTTTAACAAAATCAGAACAGACCTGACATTATAAAACGTGTGTACTGAAAGGGAATTATGTATACAAGTCCCAGACCCTAGAATGTGAAACTTGGAAGAGCTGCAATGAGCCTTTCCTGGAGCCTGATGTGAGTGACTAGATTACTGCCAAGATGCATATTCAAATCCCTTGGCTGGCCACTACCTTCTGAGCAGAGCAATGTTGTTTCAGGCTCTTCTGGCAAAAAAATTTGGTTTCTATGCAGTGTTCCGACTCATAATTTTTCCTATTTTAGTAAGCTAGCATTTTACAAATTCCAATCCATTCTGGTTTGGTTTCTTTCACTGTAACTGAACTGGGGAAAAAACAAGTTTGAAGCTCTGGTAAAGAACTCTACTTCTACACCAGAAGAAAACTTTAAAATCCTATCTTGGGTAATACAATTCATTCAGTGGTCATCACCATGCAATTTAACACAAAAGGTTCACCTTAAAGAAACTTTAGTTACCCAAAAAGAGCTTATAAACTAAGGTCTCATTCATGCTCACCTTTGCTTGTTTACCTTCCATAACTGCCACACAGGAATTGGTAGTACCCAAATCAATACCAACAACTGCTCCCTTGATTGCTTCTGACCTGTAAGACATTGAAACATTGCCATTTATGTTTCTCTTAATAGTGGACTCCAAAGCTGCTGCAGGAAGAAAATCATAAAAATACTACAGGAAGATTGACAGTTACACTTAAATACAAAGCCCTTAAATAAAGAAGACATTTTTCCAAGAAGAAAAATAAACCACAAATTTACTTTTCTGGTGTTAAACACGCACTACCTTTAAATGGAAATGAAGTTATACTTACGCATAATCCCGCCTTGAAGCAATTCTAAAAGCATCATGACTAAGACCTTTCCAGCTCTCCTAAAAATGAGAGGAAAAAAAAATTACATCAGTCATCTACTACTTAAGAAAACTGGGCTCTGCTGGGGAAGGAGGGACAATTTCCTCCTGTACCAGTCAGATCCGATTTGACAGTACACACACACACAATAATAATAAAAATAAAAAAAAAGAAAACTGGGTATGTTCCAAATATTCTTTGATCAGCACCGTTCTTGGCCTCTACTACCTAAGTTGTGACAATAACTTATCTCTCCACATTACCAAATATTCCCTTCGTAGGCAAAACTGCTCTTGGTTGAGAATCATAATAATGTAAAACAATCTGGTACTTTTCCAGTTTTTTGTCAGGTACATCTTTGTCAAGTACATCTAAACCCTAAATATGGAAGTATAACAAGTACAGATTTTTGCTACACAACACTCTTTCTGCTGCCCTGGAATAAAAATGATTTAAGGTAAGTGGAGTTATGAATCTTGTGGAGTTAATGTAAAAAACAAGACTTCATTAGTGGAATCCAAGTAGATTGGAAGATAGTATTTACAACTTAACCTCTGCAACTTCAAGCCTTCTTAAAACTCTATGTAAATGCAAAATGAGAGTATCCAGTTTTCCTAAGTCATTTTTGTTTTAAATGTTAACCGGCAACTACTCCATAGTTTTCCCACAGCCGCTCATGTGATCCAAAATAATCATCGAGGTGAACCTTACACCAACAATTTTGGGGCAAGAAACTGAATGTAATACTGCTAATGCAAGGAAAAGGCACTAAACTTTTAACTTGGTCAAATGTTTTTCTTTCATCTGAGAAACAAGATCTTTGCACACCATTATCTTACAAGCTGACAATTGCAAGAATAGGGAACTGGCTTGAATATTTACGTAAAAATAAAAGCTGCAGCCCCTACTCCCATGGACAAAGTTACTTAAGCAGCCAGAGAACGGGCTGTCAGAACCATTACCCGCTACCCGGGGGTATCCTAGAACGCCAGGGGTGTGTGACTCAGCACAGCCCGAGGCGCGCAGTGAAAAATTCGAATAAACCCTTGAAGCAGCAACGTTAACTACGGAGGATCCGTTATAGTCTCCTCGAGCTTTTACAGGAGGATACTGACCCCCAAAAGGCGCGGCCTGGCGCACGGGTGCCGGAGGGCATGGTGCTTTTAGGAGGACTCAGCAGCGTCTCACCTGGTGGCGGGCGACCTTGGAACTCCGGGAGACTGTGGCGCCGACCAGACGGACGGCCACAGCTCGGTGGGCGTTTATAATGGTGGCTATACGGTGGGACTATGGAGCAGCAAACAGGAGCACGGGAAGCCCGGAGCTGCGCGGCGGCACGGCGGCTGGAGAGCTTCTGGAATCCTCCAACCACGTGGGGTAGGGGGCGGGGGTTGGTCACTGCGACCTGCAGGCCTGCTCTTCCGCTGAGGTGCCGCTCGCGTCGCCTGACCAAAGATTAGCTAACCTTGGCTCCCGGAGTTACCGCGTGCCGATAAAGTGCACCACAACATGATAGCTGGAGAAAGTGTGTCCTCTTGTTTTTGTAGCACTGGCTCTGGACTCAGTTGAGAGGTGATGGAACTAGAAGGCGTATAAAGGCAATCCTTCGGACAGTCCCGGTCCTTCGCGGCAGGAAAGACTCAAGGTCACACTGGATAAATTGTGACCAGATTACAGTTGTCTTGCGTCAGGTGGTGGTGAGGCGGAGCCTGTTGCGCCTTCGTCGCTGCCTTCCGGCTTGTGGCCTTAGCGCATGTGCGCAGAGATTCTCGGAAGAAGGTGGAGACTGACTGCTGCGCTCATTGGATGCCGTAGCGTACGCTTGCTTGCCCGCTCCGTATCCCGCAACGTAGCTCGGGGCGAGCACGGGCGCGTGCCCAGGCCAGGGGCGTGTACCTTTTACCCAGTTTTGGCTTTCCACAGATGGCGCCATTTTGTCCCACGGCTTTATTCAGTGCCAACGTCAGGCTTAGAACCTTTCTTGCTTTGTTCCCACCCTTTGTCCATTTTCTTGGCTGCACGTTGCTATTGCAATAACTAGAATGTGCTTTCTTGAGACAAATTCTTAACAGGAGATCCACAAGGATCTTAAGCTGCAAATGAAAACAGCCATTCATTCACACAGCTTTGGGTTTTAGCATCGTGCAAAACTTCGAGAAAATAGCTTAGGCTCTTACCAGCCCGCTATGCGGCATTTAAAGGACCCTTCTCCAACCTTACCTTGACATATATAACGTATGCTGTTAATGTGCGGTCGAGTCGCCTGCGACTCACCGCTACCCTATGTACAACAGCCCTAAACCCTGCTCTATCTTGTGATAACGTTATTGCCTCTTGACACAACTACCCCCGTTACCCCAGTCAGCGAATCAATCCATCGCATCCAGGCTTTGCTTTTCTTGCAGTGTCCCTCCACCCTCCCAAGCATGATGTCCCTCTCCAAGGACTGATCCCGCTTTGCAACATGCCCGAAGTATGTCAGATGGAATTTCAGAATCCTTGCCTCCAAGGAGCAGGCTGATGTCACCCTCTCCAGGACGAACTTGTTTGTTTTCCTAGCAGTCCAAGGTGTATATTCAATACTACTCCACAGCACCACAGCTCAAAGGCATCAATTCTCCTTATATTACCCTTAGTCATTGTCCAGCTCTCTGACACATACTACAGATCTGTTATCTATCTACGTATCTAACATGTAATAATATGGGAGATAAAAATATAATGGTGTGTATATATATATAATGGTGTGTGTATATGTGTATATATAGATAATGGTGTGTATATATAATGGTATATATATAATGGTATATGTATAGATATATAATGGTATATGTATATATATATAATGGTATATGTATATATAATGTTATATGTATATATATAATAACAGGCTATGAGTTTGCTAGCAAGATGTCAGTGATCACAGCGCTATGACCAAGTTACAAAAGTTTTTTAAAAGGGTAGAATTCAACAGATGTGCAGTGGAATGCCTACCATGTGTTCTAGGTAGCTTTTGGGAAAACAATTAAAACTTTATCAAGAAGCTGACAAGTGAGATTGAGACTGTTTTGGAGATGAAGTCATTTGTTTTTTCAGAATAAAAGATGATCCAGCCCCTACCTTTTAAAAAATCAGTTATTAAGTGGTCACTTCTGTGTGAGGAATTGTGAAGGAATGTTGGGAGGGAAAGAAGATAAGAGCTTACATTCTGAGGGGGATGGAAGTGGGAGTAGGAAAATAAACAGAAAATTCAAACATAACAATAGCTAGAGATAATGCAGATTCTAAAAGGAATAGAAAAAGCCCACACATATTTTCTTCCTTAAATGTTAACTATTTTTATAATATCTTTACTAGTCTACTTAACATGCTTTTGTATTTCTTTTGCTTTTTTTAATGTCCTCAGAGGTAGGTGTTCCTTGTTGTCAGGTCCTATGAAGTTGAGTATGGCTCATAGGGACCCCATGAACAAGATCTGAACCCTGTCTTATCCTATGCCATCTTCATCATCTCTGATATACTTGAGCCCATTGCTGCAGTTACTGTGTCAATCCATCGGTCTTCCTCTCCTTTACTGACTCTCCACCTTTCCAAGCATCATCGATGTCCCTTTTTAAAGAACAGCCTCTCCTAACAACAACTTGGCCAAAGTATGTGAGTTGAAGCTTCACTATCCTTACCTCTATGGAGCTCCCTGGTTGCACTGTTCTTTTGTCAGATATTCAGAACTCTTTTCTAATATCACAACTCGAAAGCATCAATTCTTCTGCATTCAGATGTATAATAAGTAATTGAAAAGACTATGGCTTGAATCAGGCTCATTTTAGTCTTTAAATTGACTCAGATTGCTCCTTAGAACTTTGGAGAGTTCCTTAACAGTCGACTTTCATAATGCAATATGTCTTGATTTCTAGACTGCTGGTACCCAGGGTGTTGATTGTGGATCCAAGTAAGATGAAATAATTGACAATTTCATCCTTTTTCTCCATCTATCATGATGTTGCCTATTGGCTCAGTGGTGAAGATTTTTATCTTCTCGATTTTAAGATGCAATCCATATAGAAAGCTATAGTCTTTGATTTTTTTAAAAATCATATTGTGTATGTATACCATCACATCGGATCTGACTGGCACAGGAGGAGATTGCCCCTCCTTTTTCAGCAGAGCAAGGTTGTGCCATCTTCATAATTCAGGTTGTCGATGAGTTTTCCTCCAGTCCTGCTGTTGCATTCTTCATAAATTCTAACTTCACAAATTAGTTATGTAGATTTAATAGGTACAGAGAAAGAATACAACTCTGATGCACACCTTTCTTGATTTTAAACCATGTAAACCCTAGCTCTGTTTGGACAACAAGTTCTTGGTGTAGATACAGGTTTCCTATGATGGATGGTGAAGAGATTGAGATTGTTAACAACTTTAGTCTGCTCGGCTCCACTTTCAACAATCTTTGGCACCAATAGCCAGGAAATAAAAAAATGTATTGCAATGGGAAAGTCTGCTGTTAGGGACCTTGCCAAAGTACTGAAGAGCAATGGTGTCACTCTGGAGACTAAGGTGCATCTGATACAGGCTATGGTCTTTGCAATCACTTGTTATGCATCAGAGAGT